AAGTGTGATCAGCTATGTGCCATCTAACAATAAAGACAAGACGATAGCTTATCAAACAACTTTTAATTATCTTTGTAACCTGTTAATACAAAGGCTACAGTCAAATGGAGGCAGGCAACTAAAACCAAAAATAAATTGGACACAAAAATGACTTGTGTTTTCAAAGAGGCATGGTGGCAAGGTTGAAGCGCTTTGTCTTCCAATTTTAACTCAGGAAATAGCAGGACACACCAAGGTACGCCTCTGTAGCACGGCTGGACCATACGTCAGCAGTAAGGGGATCATCGACAGGTTTGAGGGTCTGCTTTATCATAAAGATAAAGGATATTAAAGTTAGTTTATTTGCCAGATTAATAATTCTGTTAAATAAAGCAGGTTAAGATTTAACTCAACGAAAACATTATGTTTGAAAAATATTAGTTTCTTGATTACTCCGTCAGCAACCTTTTTAGTTGATCAGAAACAGACTTGGAGCTTGTTAGTGACCTAGTGCCATGAGTGTGCACCCTGAGACTGGGAGATTATGGGTTCAAATCCACTGTTGGGTCATACCAAATACTTAAAAAAATCAGACCCAATGCCTATCCGCATGACACTCAGCAATAAGGGGTTCCTCTGGGGGTTGAACCATCAAATGGTTCCCGAGCTGTGTGCAGCTCACCTCTTCCCCAGGGATGGGTCAAATGCGGAGAACCAATTTCACACAGCAGTCTGACAACTAATGGGAGTTTGATAATGCACTAAGTAGCATCAATAAAGGAACCTTATTGTAAAGTGTTACCAAAACAAATATGAGAAAGTAGATTAAAACATTGTTTTACTAATTGAATACAAAGTACATTGTGTCAAGGTGATTAGACTGATTCAAAGCATAAAGTGGGAGGGTGAGTCATGCACACCTGTTCAGTGGGAGATGCAAGGCTGGAGCTCTACAGGCCCGAGGAGCGTCGAGGGGCCAGCCATCTTTTCATTAGCCGTATCTAATGAAACTGCACAGGGCCCGAGGAAGAAAGGCCTACTGCAGGGACACCCTGCCCTGCCCGAAATTACACCAGAGACTCGTCCACAATAGAAGCATTCCGTCCACACAGCGACACCGGCACTTGACACCCAATTTAAACCTGCAGCTTGTTTCTTTGACAAGTGGAAATTTCCACAGCAGTCCCTTTCCCAGGCAAAGAGGCTGAACGAGGAAAAATGACTTTCAAGGGGGTTTAATCACATGCACTATAACTCTCCGTACCCCCACTCTTTTGTCTGGCAACTGTTGTCAAAATGGAAATATCTGATACTCTTTCTAATCACACAGGCAGCAATTACTGTTAAGCTTTCTTTGACGGGCTGTCGCCGTTGACAGACACCAAAGACGATGAGAGCGGTAGTCGGGCAAGCAACTGCAAATTTATGCACGTGGGCCGTATACTTAAACGTGCACGAGGAGCTTCACAGGTACAAACACGCACAATCTTATAAATGTTTGTTTTAAATCAGTCACCTGGGTCTGAACCCTGAAGACTTTTCCTCTACTGTTACCCGTTCCTGCCCACACTGTACGCTGCATCTATGCCGCTGACCCCGAGGTCGAAGCATTACATCGACGACAGCCTTATCCCCCTAAATGCACCGCTGCACGTCCCAGCTAATGTGCAGAGGTGTGTGTGATGAGAGAAGATGAGACCCAGACAGGGGTGAGAGGAGGTGTCATACCGATAACCCCCACAGATGGACGGCGGGAAGAGTTTAGGGTTTCAAGCGCGTGAGTGCGCCTTTGTGTAAAAATGATATACCCTGGACACAAAAAGGTGTAAGAGAAAAAAATGTGTGTGTGTGTTTCAGTTACGTGTGTGTGGAGAAGTGAGTGGGAGAGTGAAACGAGAGGCCCTGACCTCGAGCAGCACTGACATGAGCTATCATCATGATAGCCCCTCCTGATTCAGGAGGGAACAAGAGACCATGGATTAATTTGTTCCAGTTTGGGACACGTTCACACCAGCATGGTGGCATTTTGTCCAAATGAAATAGACACGACTAATCAATGTGATGTTTGGAGGTTTTAAATTCAAACTTTAAAAACATAGAGCAGCAGGTGTTTAACGATGCTCATTCAGTCCAAATCCGAGCAGACTGATTTTCTTTGGAACTCCATTCTAATAACTTTGGTAACTTTATTAATAATTCTGGATGTGTGGTGAACGGCTTGAATAATGAAGCTTTTAGATATCTCTGTAGAATTTCTGGTTTGTCAGAGGACAGCAGAATTGCGGGGCAGAAATATTAGCTCTTTCTGTTATTTGAAGGTGATTCATATGGCTCTGGCAACTTTTATGAAACTTTTATTAAAGTTTTTCTCTTTTAAGTTTAGTTAAATAGATTACTAACAAGCAGTCGGCATCTTACCTGCAGCAGAGTCAGAAAAATCCATATAGAATAAAACAGGCAATTTAATAAATCTTCTTTAATTATTATTAGTAATGGTATTAGTACCACCTAAAATAGTTCAATGTATTTGCAAAAATGCTAAATTCTTACTGGGTTACAGTTCTACTCAGGATTCCACTTTTAGCATTTTTTAATCTAGTTAATCTAGAATTTAAAATGCAAAGACAGAAACAAACAAAAGTTGGGTTTTTTTTGCCAATCTATAGGTTTGTGAGGCTTTTCCTGCTGTAGAAAACAAAGTTTTAATAGGAGATAATCCTGTTAATGTGGATTTATGGATCTGCTGTTAAACCGCTGATATATTTCCATATTTAACCCCTTGGAATTCTAAATCTGAATATTGTTTAAAGTGAAATAAAACAAAATTTAGGGATAAAACGTCCCGCAGTTTGATGTTCTCGAACTTCCCAACCAGGTTAGTTGCAGCTGATGTATCACCGACCAGCCGCACCAAGTTATAACTATTTTTGCTAAAAAAAATCCTTTAAATGGGAGAATTTTAAATTAATGCTACTGTTAATGGACTCGCATGACTTACCTGAAACACAATCAAATCTCGACTCTAAGACGTAAAAGCGCCGTTTGCACGACTGAGCTTTGGAGTGCTCCCACTAAAACCAAACGATACAAGAAAGACTCCTCTTCCTTTGTTCCTGGGAGGAGGTTTGGACGTCTGTAAACACTTGAGCCTACTTTACGATGGAATGTCCAAATAAAAAGCTTTTTTGAAGACTTCTCCCCGTCACTTAGGCTTGCACTGTCAATAGACCCCGCTGCCTAATGACTCACCTGTAATTGCATGAGAACAAGTCCTTACAGGAGACTGAGTGGCATGTCACATAGGAATGACAAAGGCCTCAATGTGTTTATAAGAGCCCGTTGTGTGTGACTGACCCCTGTTTATCTCCCTCCAGGCTCACGCAGCCTCGCATGAAGCTCAATCGAAGCTTTTATCCTGCAAAAATTAATGTTTAAAGCAGCAGGGCGGTGAACTAAGTAGAAGCCTTATAAGTTCCACTCTGTACCTTCTAATGAGCATGCATCCTCTCTTTTTGTGGGATAATGAGTGAGCAGGACAATTACCATAACTAGCTGATTCTAGCTCCACTTTGGAGGTTGAAATTTTGTAATTGCACTTTCAAGCTTCTGGGGAAAAAAAGATGAAACACCTCACGGCCTCCTGCAGCCTATCCTTCTCTGCCTTCAGCCACTTCAAAATGAAATTCTTCTGCCTTCTTTTCATTTAGGAGCCACTCTTTTTTGATGCTGATATGCAAGCATCAAAGAGGGGCAATTAGTGGGCCCGGGGGGCCTGAGCGCGCTCAAAAAGGAAAGACTTGAACAAGCTTCACTGACTTTTTCATAAATGAAACACGATTTATCTCCTGATCTGTTGGATAAATGTTACAATTGAGTGGTTTATTCAGCTGAAATAACCTTTTTATAAAATCAGAACTCGTTTTAAAATTAATATTTAAATATTGACCAGCAATTCAGGAGATCTGGTTAGGGTGGTCTCCCAGAGACAAAGCACACCAACGTGCCCCCAGCGGTTCAAAGGAGCCGTTCTAAACATTATCATATAATTTGGGCCAGCCGTCAGCTTGTAAATAAGTGAGGTAGAAGCCTTTTGTGTGATGGGGCACAAGCTGGAGACAGGCGTCTTCGCTCTGCCGACGTGAGCCGCTGAAGACAAAAGCAGGAGACAGAGCGTCTAACCTTTGATTCTTCTGAGGACTCCGCCGCCTTGCAGAGGGGGCGAAACGCATCAGACACAACTGTGCCCCCGACGTAGAGATGTCAGGAACAATAGAGTCACCCACACACAGTCAGGCCGAACAACAAACCCCAGCTGCAATTGGATTAGCAAGGATCCAACCAACACATGTTAAGTCTAATTGACATGAAAGTGAAATCTGAGAACAATTAGGTCTTCGAACTCAAAAGCTTTGCTTCTGTCAAAGCTTTTTATTTTTATTTTTTTATTTGGGGGGGGGGGGCACCTAAGGGTTGTGAAGATTCCAAAATAAAAGTTTCTTTACACATATTCATGTAATAGGGGAAGACCTTAGAATAAACCAATTTTAATTTTTTTTTCTGAAATAATTTAGGCAAAGATGACAAAAAACTAGTTTTATAAAATAGAGCTAAAATTATTTAAGTCACAAGTGTTTTTTTCTATCACAAACAATCATTTAAAATTAGGAAATTGTACCAAAATGTAACTATTCTGACCACTTTGTATAGCACCTTTTAGACCTTGCATCTTATTAAAGCATGAAATAAATGTTGGCAGTTTTGAAGCACAAATTAAGCATTAATACATTATTGTTACCCTGTTATACTACATTATAACCCTGTTATCCAGGATTATTATAAAAAAGTAAATAAGATTTTTCTCACTTTTTCCCCTCTTTTTAAATGGCTATGGATCTAAGTTAAATAGTGGGATTTTTGGGGGCTAAAATATTCCATTTTAATAATTTGACCAATTGATTATAAAAACAGAGCTACATTTTTTTAGCAAATACAAAGAGTGCATGTTATAATATAACTAAATGTGAAAGATATCCATGTTTTATTTTGTTGCATAACATCAAAGTAGTAAATATTACCAGTAAATAAAGAGTTTTTACCATTTTCTCCGTCAAAAAAGACAATCTAATATACATTATGACAAGTAAAACAGCTTTTTTGTGTTTAAAATAAGAATTCAATTTATTTTTTATATGTAGATATAAATATATATATTTTGTCAAAATATATGATCATATTGTCAAGAAACAAATTAGTGAGACAAACGTACACCTCATAAAAGTTATAAATAAGGGTCCAAGTGAACATTTTGGGAGACAAGAAGTTGTAATTTTTTTGGGGGGGAAGGGCTTCCACATTATTTTGTTTGAGTTGCCACTTTGAGTCCAGGTTGTAGTGAGTTTGCGCGCTAGCGGCAGCCACAGCCCTCTACCACCATTTCCTGATAGTTTTTTAGGACCACCTTGTCGTGTTCGTCTAGGTAGAGCATGGAGATGGCGCTGAGCTCAGTTGGTACACAGCAGGCCTTGGGAATGTTGCTGTTCACAGAGTTCACCAGTGTTTGAACAATGGCGTGGTTGGTTGAGTTTAAATGATCTGCAAGAGGAAACGGGCAATCCCCGTGGCAGTAAAAGGCCTGGTAGCCAGGGGGCGCCACTATCCAGTCATTCCAGTTTACATCGCTAAAGTCCACATACAGTGAGTGACGCCGGCAGCTGCGTTTGCGCTTACCGCCCTTTTTGGTGGGGCTGCGTTTGGTCCGCCGGGTTAGCGGGTGACCCTTTCCGTCATGACCAAAAGTAACCAGAAGAGGGCGTAGCTGCTCCCAATCCTCTCCGGGTTTTTGGTGTACAGAGCGGCTGACACGGACATGGCGGCCCTGGTGACTCGGAGTCTGGTTGAGGTGCAGAACCTCCACAGCCAGTCCGTGATTAGAGAGGCCCTCGCGAGTCCAGCGCAGCACGGCGGGGCTGACGTCGAAGCTCTCCCATTGTGACACATTGTGGTGCACGAGCCGCGTATCCAGAAGCTGCGTGATGAGCTGCCCAGGCCGCGGGGCTTTCAGCACCTCGTAAACATTTATCCGGTGGAGGCCCCGGTTGTCTGAGAGGCTGTCCGCGATGGCCTCATCAATCTGATGCCGGTAGAGCCTTAGTTCTGCGGACGACAGCAGCTCATCCTCTGGAATGCCGCTGAGGTTGAACAGGAAGCGGATCGGCATGGATTCTCCATCACCCACCTCATGGATCCTCTCCATGTGCTCTGAAAATGAGCAACAGGAATAAGTGTGGGATGTTTGTACAGATCAGATGTGCAGAAAGGTCACCTATACAACATGTTAAAGGCTGCTCTTTGTACTTTAGGGTTCCGGGGATCAGCATCTTCCTGGTGTTTGGATCCCACCTAATCCTCCACTTTCTCATTCTCAGCTAGATTTGATTGACACAAAATAACATTTTTTCACACTTCTCAAGGCCCCTGAGACTAAATACATAACCTTCAGGCTTCTTCACCTGCCTTTAAAGATTTTCCTGCCCTTCTCTCAATGCCATTCTTTGAGCACTTTGCTGAGACATAAATTACAAGGAGGGTGGTGATTAACGTACCACAACTACAGCATAAACACAGTGGAGGCTCCCTGTTCCACTCACAGTCTGCAGATTTCTGGCAAGATCACCATTGTTGGGGAAAGGAATGTTGTGTCTACTATTTTCCTGCTCAATCCACCCCTGTTATTTCACACCCAGGCCCTAATCTTACCCAGGTGGTTCTCATTATTAAAACCTGCTGTGCTTTTGATTAGCTCTGCAGTTTGTCCACTTAAGACATTTATCATTTTCATCATGAATAATCATTAAGGAGTCAGACAATACAGTAGAATCTCATTTATCTGAAGCCCCTGGGAAAAGGAGGCATTGCGTGGGAATGCTGTGCGTCCGAGAACTGAAACATTTTCAAAATGCAATCATCTGTTTTGTCTGCTCCGTAGTTAAATTGGAGAATTATTATCAAAATGTGTGATTTCTGTTCACACCTGGTCAATAAAGGATATCATCTTCCTGCCATAAACGCACCTTCTCTTCATCGGACTGTCCCATCTGCTGCCGAGGGCAACGCGTCTCTGCTGTTTTAGGGGATCAGTCAACCGAGTCACACCATCACACAATGGTGCTTCCATGAAAGCGAGCACTCCCACTCAAAACACTTCAAAGAACGCTCAAGGAAAGAAGGGAAGGAGGGTGGAAGCTTGTGGAGAGAAGTTCAAACTCAAGCGCAGATTGCATCACAGACAGATGCTCCCGCGTTTTTTTTTTTTTGGACCAGTCTCGATCGCTGTGTTAGTGCAAGCTGCCATGTGCCACTACTAGCTACGTGCGCTACAAGTGTCACTAAAAATGACTCATGTCTGCTTTGTAAGGTCAGACGCTGTCAGCCATCTCAGTTCCACATGACTAATTTTTGGGGGTTTGCATTTTTCCTCACACAAAAAAAAAGTTCAAGAATCATCTAATTTCCCTGAAAACTTCCAATCCTTCAGTCGCACCATCTCGTGAGGCTGTTTTCCCCATCTCCCTGGAGAACGGCTGTGTTTTCTCTCTGCACCTACATTGTTTGGAGCAGGGGCTTTATTTAGAAAAGCTGCAGAGTAGCATTAAAGATAATTGCACAGCGAGGAAGGTCTTTCTAAACGAGACATGAGACGGCGCACAGGACGGTTCCAAGCCAAGAACAGGCTTTTTAAAACCATGTTCTGCTGGGTGGAGTGAGAAGAGTAATATGAAGGTATGCTTTTCCTTCAGTTACTAACCAAACATACAGAG